TGTCGGCTTCATTTGCACTTTTCAAAGACGAGGTTGCTCAAGTCATCAAGATGGGAAGCATTGGAGTACAAAACAGTCCTGAACGTAAGAACCTCAAAAAGAAGTCACGTAAAGTCAAGGCAAGCGGGGAAACTTGACAGTTCAAGGTGATACAAATTTGCATCAGCTTTTAGCTGAACTTTTCCAAGCATTTATTTAGATCCGTGGTCCTCATCCTTTTTTGCACAGACCGGCCTTTAAAGTGTGGCGGATGAATACAACAAAATAAAACGATACAACCTTCATAAAAACTGGTATTTTCTAAATATAACAATAAAAGTGAATCCACTGTGTATGCAACTTTATTATCAGCGTCCTCGTAACATCACGTCAACATCGTAACATGAGTAACACCTCTCAACCCCACACTCTGATCGTAATAGTAAAGGTTAAACATGCCTTCAACATAAGATACACCACGAAAACAAATATAAAGTGCATGAACAATACAACTCACCATAACACTGAATCAGTGGGAGCCCTGAGCTTGTTTCTCTGCAACAAGACAATCCCATCTAGGGGTAATGGGAGACAATGACACCCGAGGTGTGTCGCTGATGTCCAGTATGCTCTGTAATTTTGTTTTGGTTGCTGTCACTGCAGAAAACCCTGCTTCACACAGATAGGATGTTAAAAATGGCAACAGGGTTTCAGTGCTGTTGTGGTGATCTCAGGGTTTTCTGCCATGACTTTAATCCAGAACACCGGCAGAGTCGCTGTATCAAACATACTTTTAAGGCCACTGTCATTTGCGATCTCCAGCAGTTGATCTTCTTGCATAGACACACTGGATTCCCCTGATTTGCTGGCGAATGGGTCGCCATGTGACCGAGGCAAGCATCTTGACCTGCATCAAGAGTGAGTTATAGACAGATGTGGCAGAGAGAAGCTGGTAATTTTCCTAAATAAAACATTGTTCAGAATCAAGTACTACGGTGAATCATCACATCGGTGTCACAGATCAGATAGACATCAGTGTTCTCCTTTTTTAAACTGCGTCATTCACGAAGATTGAAGGATTGGTCCAGAATGCCCATCACCAGCAGGCCTGCAGTCTCTGTAAGTGCAGGAATTATCTGCAGCACAACAGCTCAGGGGTTAGCACTGTTGCATCACAGCAAGAAGGTCCTGAGTTCAATCGCTGGTTGGACCTGGGGTCTTTCTGTGTGGAGTATGCATGTTCTTCTCATGCTTGCGTAGGTTTTCTCCTGGTACTCCGGTTTCCTCCCACAGACCACAAACATGCATGTTAGGCTGCCTTCAGGCCCAGGCCTCCCTTGCACAAGAGATCTGTGATCTCAGTGGGATTTGGTTAAATAAAGGTGAATCATTTTTTTAAATTTTATTTTGTTTAAATCTGCAGAATCCTCAGGTTCACCAAGCTCTTTTATGAAGGTAAATATGTTGCGATAGTTGTGAAATTGTAACTTTGATTGGTGCATCTCCAGAAAAATGTATATTTGTGTTTAAAAATTTCATCTGCATGAAGTTTTCTTCATTAATATTTTTTTATGCTACACCACCAGCCTGATCAAGAAAACTCATCAGAGACTCTACTTCCTCAGGCGGCTGAGGCGAGCTGGTCTGGGAAGCTCAGTCCTCACCTCCTTCTACAGGTGTGCAGTGGAGAGCATCCTGTGCTCCAGCATCAACGTGTGGCATGGAGGCTGCACAGCTTCAGAAAGAAAAGCTTTGCAGAGAGTGGTGAAGGCTGCACAGAAGTCTGTTGGAGTGAGCGTCCCCACCATCACAGACATCTACACCTCCAGATGCAGGAAGAGGGCCACTTGCATCATGAAGGACCTCACTCACCCAGCACACACACTTTTTGCCCCGCTCCCCTCAGGAAGGAGGTTGAGGAGCATTAAGTGTAGAACCACTAGACTGAGGAACAGCTTCTACCCTGAGGCTGTTAGACTCATTAATCTCTAACTAGAATAATCACTGTGAAAAATCACATCATGTTGCTGCTGATCTGTTTCATGTTGCTGCTGATCTGTTCCATGTTGCTGCTGATCTATTTCATGTTGATGTGTTCATGCGTGCTCATCTGCTCACAGAGACTCGTGTTCATGCTGCTGTTCAACGTAATGTTTTTATGCTACTAGTGCTTAGCATATTTTTAGTTTAACATTTTTCTTAGTTCATATCACAGTTGTTCAAAATATTATATTACAAAGACTTGAATATGATATTGGAATTACAGGAACGTCTCTAAACAGGTTTAAATCATATTTATCTGATAGATTCCAATTTATAAATGTAAATAATGAATCTTCATCATACGCCAAAGTTAGTCATGGAGTTCCTCAAGGTTCAGTGCTTGGACAAATACTCTTTACCTTGTATATGCTTCCATTAGGTAAAGTTATTAAACAGCATGGGATAAATTTTCATTGTTATGCTGATGATATATATTTGTCCATGAAACACAATGAATCCAATCAACTACTTTGACTACAAGCATGTCTTAAAGACATAAAAACCTGGATGACCCTAAATTTTCTGATTTTAAATTCAGACAAGACTAAAGTTTAAATTTTTGGACCTGAGCATTTTAGGAATACATTTTTCAGTCTTTTTCCCTCCTTGGATGACATTAATCTGGCCTCCAGCTCTAATGTTAAAAATCTTGGTGTTGTTTTTGATCAGGTCATGTCTTTTACCCCCACATTAAAAAAGTTACTAGAACTGCCTTCTTCCATCTGTGTAATATCACTAAAATTAGAAACATCTTATCTAAAAATGATGCAGAAAAACTGGTTCATGCATTTGTCACGTCTAGACTGGACTATTGCAATGGTTTATTATCTGGGTGTCCAAATATTTCTTTAAAACGTCTTCGGTTGATCCAAAATGCTGCTGCCAGAGTCTTAACTGACGGGTTTTTTTTTTCATTCATTCAACATTTATTTATACAGGTTAATCCCATTGAGGCTTGGGGACTCATTTACAAGAGAGACCTGATTTCTTTAACAAAGAATGATGACAACAATACACAATCATAAAAGAGGCATACAAATTAATTTTTTTCTTCTTTTTTTAAACAAATTGAAATAAAATGGCAACCAAAAGGACAGTCAAAATGGAATAAGTAGCAAAAAAAAAAAAAAACAGCTAGATTATAAGGCGGTGTAGAAAACTAAAAACAGGAACATGTCTGCATTAGTTCTTGTCAGGAACTTAAATGTTTGAAGCCACTTAGAGAGGTCAAGGTCGAGAGCTTCAGATATTTTTGCAAGATATTCCAGGAAACAGGAGTGGAGTAGGAGAAGGCCCTTTTGCCTAATTCAGTCTGCACTGAGGGAACACTGCAGGTAATAATGTCCTGGAAGTGCACACTGTAGCTGCACTCATGTAGTGACATGTAGGAGATGTATGAAGGCAGCAGAGCAAGAAGTGATTTAAAGAAGAAAATTAGTTAGTAGGAGAGTTAGTAGGAAAAATCATATCTCTCCAGTTTTAGCTTCTCTCCTTTGGCTCCCTGTCATGTGCAGTGGAGAGCATCCTGTGCTTCAGCATCAACTTGTGGCATGAAGGCTGCACAGAAGACTGTTGGAGTCAGCCTCCCCACCATCACAGACATTTACACCTCTAGATGCAGGAAGAGAGCCACCTGCATCATGAAGGACCCCACTCACCCAGCACACACACTTTTTGTCCCACTCCCCTCAGGAAGGAGGTTGAGGAGCATTAAGAGTAGAACCACTAGACTGAGGAACAGCTTCTACCCTGAGGCTGTTAGACTCATTAATCTCTAACCAGGATAATCACTGTGGAAAAATCACATCATGTTGCTGCTGATCTGTTTCATGTTGCTGCTGATCTGTTTCATGTTGCTGTGTTCATGCATGTACATCTGCTCACACAGATTCATGTTTGTGCTGTTCATCCATCCATTATCTTTTACCCGCTTCTTCCATTTTGGGTCACTGGGGTCGCCCGTGTCTATGTCCAGCAATCACTGCGTGAGGGGCGGGGTACACCCTGGACTGGTCTCCAGTCCATCACAGGGTCACATAGAGACAAACAAGACAAACAATCATTCACTCGCTCACTCACACCTAGGAACAATTTAATTACCAATCAGCCTAACATGCATGTTTTTGGTCTGTGTGAGGAAACCGGAGCACCCAGAGAAAACCCACACATGCACAGAACATGCAAACTCCACCCAGAGAGGCCCCCAGACCGGGATTTGAACCAGGGACCTGCTCGCTGAGAAGCAGCAGCTCTACCAGTTGCACCACCGTGCTGCCCTGCTGCTGTTCGGTGTATTGCTTTCATTGTTTTTGTACTATTACTGCTTAGTGTATTTTTAGTTGATGTTTTTCTTAGTTCATATCTTAGATCTTATTACTGTTTTTCTTTTACATTTTATTGTTGGATGTAACTGGGACCCAGTGTACACATGTTCGTTCCACCACATTTGGTGCATATGACAAATAAAGAAACTTTGACTTTAATGTGTGTCACATCAGTGATTGTGAGGGAATTATGGGGGAGTGGTGGCGCAGAGGCTAGAGAGGTGGGCCTGTGATCCGAAGATCGCCGGTTCACGCCCTGGCCCCGACAACATCAAAATTGTGCGTGGGATAGGGGAAGCACCCACACTTGCCCTCATTTGCCCCACCCTGGGCCCATGAGCAAGGACCCTTAACCCCCATCTGCTCCCTAAACAGGTCTCTCTTGAAAATGAGTTCTCGTGGCTCAATGAGACTAAATAAAGGGTAAATGAACGTGCTAAAGCGCTGATTATTCTTTGTATAAATCTAGTAGAGTGCTGTATGAATGGGTAAATGAGGACACAGATTGTGTTGTAAAGAGCTGTAAGCTAGAACGGTGCTATATAAGTACAGTACAGACTATTTACCAAGGCGTTTTTTAAGCTGCAGTACCACTTCCACAACTTTAAGTGGCGCTAGCGAGCTAACTGCTGCTAATACGCAGTCAGTGAATTTTTACACAAAGAAGCCGAAGATCAACATTGCAGCGCTTGCAGCGTAGGTTTACACGTAATAAACTATTTTAGTTTAATTTGCTTTAATTTTTATACAGTATAGATTAAAAAAAAATCTTCAACGAATTTTATTATTTTTGAACAGATATTGTGCGCCACTGGACGCTAACCGCTAGCTTTAGCGGCGACGCTAACTCGGAGCTTCATTGTTGGTGGGTGTGTAGCTCAGGCATGGCAGCTTCTGACTGTGTTTAACCCTCACTTACATCCCGCATTGTTTTTTCAAGTGGTGCCGAAACAAGTAAGACTGAAAAATGGACACGAGAGCGTTAAGGAACCCATATCATGACTACGATGGAAACCCTGCGTATACACAGGCGTTGTTTGACTCTCAGGGAAAGGTACATTGTTGAGAACATGATGACGAAGTGCAGCGTTCTCGTGTTTAAGACGGTTCTCTTGTTTTGTTCCCTTCTCCTCCCCCACTTAAGATCACGCCAGAGTTTGCCCAGAGGTTGAGCAGCAAAGTCAGCGAGCTTCTAGCTGTCATAGAGCATGGGCTGGAGTCTGCTGATCCAAGAGACTGCACTGCTTACACAGGCTGGACAGGTGAGTTCACAATCAGTGTTGCCAGATCTCGCGATAGAAACAAGCAACTAGCTCTAGCCCAACTGGCAACCCACCACACTGTGTAAAACAGAGGCCATTTTTAAACAGTATAAACATACATTTATTATGGCATTACACATAAACAACAGCAGAATTATGCAAAACACTTTAAATAACATACTTTTAAGCTCTGATAAAAAAAATACATTTTGCATTATGTATTTTTTTTCTACATATTTAAAAAAACAACATCCTGTCTAAATAAAGGTTGAATGAATCCTGACATCTGCGTGTGAGTGAAGCCCCCTAGTGGTCGGCCACAGTGTGCACCCATAGGATTAATAGCTATGTTTACATGCGCAAAATTTTTTGACCGGATTGAAATGTTTTCATATTCTACACCTCGGAAGAGTGTCTACATTTCTATCTCGGTTAATGCGGCCCGAACCACAGCGTCTACCCCCACAAAAGTTATATCAAAACGACTGGCTCGGCCCCGTGATGTGTGCAATTACTTTTATTGGCATTCACAGTTACCATGGCGACATACTTTGCTAACAAAGATGCCAAATTTCCCATAGAAAATGAATAAGAGAAAACTCTTCATAGAACCTGAGTAACGTATGGAGCCATTTTGGTTTAACATGGAAGGAAGGCAGTGCATTATGCAATGCATGCAAGGCACCTATTATTACCTATTATCACCTAATATTATTAATTAATTATTAATAATAATTATAAATTATTAATGTTGATGATTATAAATGTTAATATAAATAATAATATTAATAAGTAGTATTTAATATTAACACTAATTATTTGTGTAAATATTATTAATATTGAATATTAATTATTACTATTTTAATAATAATAAATTAACAACATGTTAATAATTATTTATATTAATAATTAGTATTGCTTATTAATATTTGTAATCATTAATATTAATATTTATTATTAATAATAAATAGGCAGTCCCCGTTAAAGTTTCTCCAGGAACTTTCTAGTTCGAATGTATTGTTCACATGGGCACAATCTGTTCATGATGAGCGTTTACATGCAGCGGGCCTTGTTCCGAACAGAAGTACTGACATGCGCAGAGTGGTAAACTCTACTTTAAAAAAAACCACAGAAGAAGAAGTTCTACTTCCGGTTTACTTCCTGGATGAACGTAAACAAACCTGAGCACCTAAAATGGACCCGCGACAGGTTTTAATAACACTGGAGACGTTACTGCACTCCCTGACTGAGCTACAGGTGATACAGATCATTTTGAGCTCTTTCAAAGTTTCTAGAAGAAATGCCGTGTTGCTCACTGACCAGTTTTGCTTCCCCCACATGCTAATATTATTAGCGTTAGCCTGGCGGAAATGACAAAGTCGCACATGCGCAGTCAGGTCAGTTTTTCACCATCAGATTAAAACGAACAGATCACGTGTTACGTGTGTTACGTGTTCACGTGTTTATGGTTATGAATCGGCGTAAACCACCCGTTTCGTTCTGATCACAAATTATTTCGGATCACGCTGAATAAACAAAAAAATAACCCGAACGGGGTGTTTACGTGACGTGTTTTTATTCCGAACGGCCGTTTGATCCGATGACTTATGTTCATGTAAACATAGCTAATGTCTATGTGTTTGCCTGACGCCTCGCCAACTTGGGCGGGAGCGATAAACAAGAAACGGGTGTGGAAGGGACAAACTACCTACTCGTCTTTTGCTTTATTGTGAGGAGCTGGGAGATAATCAACTAGTTTCACTCGGAAAGAAAGTCAAGCCCAAATAAGCAACTTAACTTTCAAAACAAGCCCAAAAAACTGCAACCCGGGACTCACAAGATTAGCAAGCGACTTTGGACAAAAACAAGCCCAAAGTCGCTTATAAAAAGCAGACTTGGCAAGTGTGGCGGCTGCCTGTGGGCTCCTGGCCATGTACGACAGCCTGGTCAGCTCGGCACTCACCTCCACCACTCTTTTAGGGGCGGAGATTTTTTTTTAAGGGTAGAAGCAGAAATGCTACAGAAAGAAGTGGCTGTTGTGTTTAAAATGAGTGTTTATGTAATTGTTTTCCGTTTACATATCCAATATAAGTTTCATTCGTTCAAGGCAGTCATATTTGTTCATAACTTTATTATCAGTAAGCCTGAGAGCTACCAGATCCAAGCAGACAGTTACCGGAACGCACCCTGTCAAAATATTCATTCAACCTTTATTTACACAGGTTAGTCTCATTGAGTCACCAGCACTCATTTACAAGAGGCCTGTTTAATAATAAAAATAGTAATAATAATTAGAGAAACCGCATTTCCTGTGAAAATGCAGTGTGAATGCTTATTGCACAAGAACTTGCTGAAAAACAGCTGAAGTTAGCTAAAATACATCCTGCAATGTAGCTAAAATGGAAAAACAATTCTAATTTAGCAGAAGAAAGCAGAAAGGACACATTTACTGAATTAGGTTTAAACCACCAATTTGCTGGTGATAAGATGGTTTCTGGGGCCCACTCTCTCCCGGGTCAACTCCTCTGAGGCAGCCAAAGGTTTTTTTTTTTTTTTTTAATGTTTTTAATTCATTCCAATAAGTAAATAAAGGTCAGTTTAATGAAACAAGTGACATATCAGTTGTCTCCAAATGAAATAAATCTATAAATAAACACTTTTTTGTCTATAATGTTTGAATTTATGGACTTCAAAAGGTGCCAATGTTTTAGGCTAAGATTGTGTTTTGTTGAGAAATGGAGTTGTAGCCATTTTTGTTAAACCTTGAAAATACCTAAATGTACCACAAGATGTCTGGCATTACTCAGCTACTTCCACATCTTATTTTAACTCAGTATTTGTAAAATTGAATGGTGGGGGAGTGGTGGTGCAGAGGCTAGGGAAGGTGGGCCTGTGATTGGAAGGTCGCCGGTTCATCTCCCCGGACTGACAACATTAAAATGTGGGAGGGAAAGGTGAAACATCCACACCTGCCTCCACCCTCATTTACCCCACGCTGGACCCTTGAGCAAGACCCTTAACCCCCACCATCTGCTCCCCCGGGTTCCCTAGACAGCCGCTCTCTGCTCCACACGAAGGGCTGTGGTAGCTCTGTGGTCTGTGCGACTTAGATCACTGTGGTGACCCCTGAAGAAGGGAGCAGCCAAAAGAAGAATTTCTAAAATTGAACAAGTTGTTGACATTTTATATGTCGGCTAATGTTTAGTAGCATTGGTGGCCATCTTGTAAAAAAAAAATTTACACCAATAAATAATTCATGGTACATTCATTAATTACTTTGTGAAAGTGTCCTTAAAATCTGTCCAGTAGCACATGAGATATTTTGCTAACAGACTGACTTGCACACAGACAGTCCACCTCTTCCTTTCAGCAGTGCAATACAGTTTTTATAAAATACCGTAGGTCTTTAATTATCAAATAATGGTCTCTTTTAGTAAAGGAATATTTTCAAAAAATATATATATATTTTTCATTTTGTGCTTAAACCCCTGAAAATAAAATCTGTGGTTATAAAGGGTTTTAGCAAGAAAAATGTTCAAGTTAAAGTTTTCTCTGCTGGACATTTGTTGTATCTTTTGCTACCAATATTTTTTATTGAATTTTATTTTGAATTTAAATTTTACTTTTCTAGTTTGAACAAATAAATGACCGTATCTCAGTTGTCTATTCTTCAGTCCACCATTCAAATGAAGACGTATGCTAAGTACGTTTATTGATTCACATAAAAAGATGATTAAATGATCCAAACCTCTTGATAAGCATTTAAAATATTTATCGCAGGGTGCATTTGTTTGTTTCCAGGCATTGCTTTGCTCTACCTGCACCTCCACAGCGTGTTTAACGAACATGCCTTACTTCAGAAAGCGTTTGAATACGTCAGCCGCAGCCTTAACTGTTTGACCCGACGCCATGATGTCACCTTCCTGTGCGGCGACGCAGGGCCGTATGCGGTTGCTGCTGTGGTCTACTCTCGCCTACAGAGAACGCAGGAGGCAGATGATTGCATCAACAGGTCATTACTAAAGCTGAAACTCCTCACAGTTGGTTATCTAACTCGGGGGTTCCCAACAGTGGCCCTTGAGGAACCCCATCCTGCATGTTTTAGTCTTTTCCTGCTACGACACACCAGATTTTAATTAATGGGTGATTTCCAGGCTTCTGCAGAAAATGAGGAAGTACAGTGCCTTGCGAAAGTATTCGGCCCCCTTGAACTTTTCAACCTTTTGCCACATTTCAGGCTTCAAACATAAAGATATAAAATTTTAATTTTTTTGTGAAGGATCAACAACAAGTGGGACACAATCTTGAAGTGGAATGCCATTTATTGGATGTGTCAAACTTTTTTAACAAATAAAAAACTGAAAAATGGGGCTTGCAATATTATTCGGCCCCTTTACTTTCAGTGCAGCAAACTCACTCCAGAAGTTCAGTGAGGATCTTTGAATGATCCAATGTTGTCCCAAATGACTGATGATGATAAATAGAATCCACTTGTGTGTAATCAAGTCTCCGTATGAATGCACCTGCTCTGTGATAGTCTCAGGGTTCTGTTCAAAGCGCAGAGAGCATAATGAAGACCAAGGAACACACCAGGCAGGTCCGAGATGCTGTTGTGGAGAAGTTTAAAGCCGGATTTGGATACAAAAAGATTTCCCAAGCTTTAAACATCCCAAGGAGCACTGTGTAAGCAATCATATTAAAATGGAAGGAGTATCAGACCACTGCAAATCTACCAAGACCCGGCCGTCCCTCTAAACTTTCATCTCGAACAAGGAGAAGACTGATCAGAGATGCAGCCAAGAGGCCCATGATCACTCTGGATGAACTGCAGAGATCTACAGCTGAGGTGGGAGAGTCTGTCCATAGGACAACAATCAGTTGTACACTGCACAAATCTGGCCTTTATGGAAGAGTGGCAAGAAGAAAGCCATTTCTCAAAGATATCCATAAAAAGTGTTTAAAGTTTGTCACAAGCACCTGGGAGACACACCAAACATGTGGAAGATGGTGCTCTGGTCAGATGAAACCAAAATCTAACCGTTTGGCCACAATGCAAAACAATATGTTTGGCGTAAAAGCAACACAGCTCATCACCCTGAACACACCATCTCCACTGCCAAACATGGTGGTGGCAGTATCATGGTTTGGGCCTGCTTTTCGTCAGCAGGGACAGGGAAGATGGTCAGAATTGATGGGAAGATGGATGGGGCCAAATACAGGACCACTCTGGAAGAAAACCTGTTTGAGTCTGCAAGAGACCTGAGACTGGGACGGAGATTTATCTTCCAACAAGACAATGATCCAAAACATAAAACCAAATCTACAATGGAATGGTTCAGAAATAAACGTATCCATGTCTTGGAATGGCCAAGTCAAAGTCCAGACCTGAATCCAATCGAGAATCTGTGGAAAGAGCTGAAGACTGCTGTTCACAAACGCTCTCCATCCGACCTCACTGAGCTCGAGCTGTTTTGCAGGAAGAATGGGCAAGAAGTTCAGTCTCTCCATGTGCAAAACTGACAGAGACAAACCCCAAGAGACTTGCAGCTGGAACTGCAGCAAAAGGCGGCGCTACAAAGTATTAACGCAAGGGGGCCGAATAATATTGCACGCCCCACTTTTCAGTTTTTTATTTGTTAAAAAAGTTTGACACATCCAATAAATTTCATTCCACTTCACGATTGTGTCCCACTTGTTGATTCTTCACAAAAAATTAAAATGTTATATCTTTATGTTTGAAGCCTGAAATGTGGCAAAAGGTTGAAAAGTTCAAGGGGGCCGAATACTTTCGCAAGGCACTGTAAATATATCACTGTATCAGGTGTGTTGGAGCAGGGAAACAAAACATGCAGGATGGTGTTCCTCAAGGAGCAGGGCTGGGAACCACTGAATTCTCCATTTGTTAATTGTCTTGTATCAAATCATGTTGATATAATAAATACGCTGCCATAGAAACAAGTTCAGTTTAATGATCAAGTCTAAGTAACTCACCTGCTCAATTAATCTTCACATTTATGATACAAATAGTTAAAGACCGATATTTGTTGGTACCTTTCAATGATGATCTCCATCTTCTACCACTTATCCGTGGTTGGGTTGCGGATGCAGCAGATCCCGTAGATCTCCTTCTCCAGCGATACTCTCCAGCTCCTCCTGGAGGATCCCAAAGTGACGCCTGTATGTTGTATGTAACAAGTTTCTCTTGTAAATGAGTCTTCTAGGCTCAGTGGGAACTAACGTGTATAAATAAAGGTGTAATAATAATAATAATAATAAGTGATCCCTCGCCAGAGAGGATATGAAATCCACCCAGTGAATTCTGGGTCTGTCCTAGTTTTTCTTCCCAGTGGGACACGCCCAGAAAGTCTCCATAGGGAGTTTGAAAAAAGTTCAAGACAAAAAAAAACTACTGGATTTTATTTTGTAACAGAAGAATAGAAAAGAATGGAACAGAATAGAAACAGCCTTTATTGTGCCACAGTGGGGGGATTCAAGTGTAACAGCAATAACAGATATAAAGGTTCACACAAAAAAGTTCTTAAAATGTAAATAAATATATATATAAAGAAATAAACAATAACCATATACTTTACAAGACTATAATAGAAAATACTGTGCAGTTTTAAAAAAAATGGGCATATCAAGATGTACAGTGTACAGTGTTCAATATGTATTGAACAATGAGAAGGACAGACTATTGACAGTACAGTATTATAGATAGAGTGGGTGATTGAGCAGAGGTCAGCGTGTATTTAATACTTACTGAGTTTGTTGGGAGCAGTGATGTTGTTGAGTCTTAACAGCTGCTGGGAGGAAGGACCTGCAGTAACGCTCCTTTGTGCATTTAGGATGCAGTAATCTGTCACTGAATGAGCTGTCCAGTTCAACAACAGCTTCATGTATGGGATGAGAAGTCTTATCCGAGGAGCTTTCTCATTTCAAAGAACAGAGAGTGGGGTTCGAGTTATATATAGCTGAAGTAAGCTAGATACATATGCAGATTGCCCTATCAATCCTCACAATAAATAGGGGTTTGTTAGTTGGATTTGCAGCGGAGCCACTCTGGTGACATGAATGAAATTCCTGATACCAAAGTTCATGTTCAACAATCCAGGTACAAATCCAATAAAGTTCAGTCAGGTCATCTGGATGGTTTCTTTTTTTGCTGATGTTTTGTCCATCATCCAAAGGACTTATTCAATCTGAGGAGCTACAAACAAACTGAGTCTCACAAGCAGCACACTTCCATAGTGGGAAAGAAACAGTTTGCTGGTGATAAGGTGACCTCCGGGGCTAACCCTCTCCCCCATCAACTCCTCAGAGACAGTCATGTCAAAGTGGTTCAAAACACCATATTTCATCCAACAATTTTCAGTCAGGTCATCTGGACAGTTTCTTTTTTTGCAGAAAGGTTTCACCTTCTATTCAGAAGTCTTCAGAAGTCAAGGAAACACACAACACAAAACTGATTCTTCCCCCAAACAGCTTACTCCAAAGTGGAACAAACCAGTTATGTTGGTGCTAAGAGGGCGTCTTTGGCACACCCCTCCTCGTCAACAGTCGTGTCAAACTGGTTCAAAACCAAAAAAGTCCACTTTGGAGTAAGCTGTTTGGGGGAAGAATCAGTTTTGTGTTGTGTGTTTCCTTGACTGATGAAGCCTTCTGGATGGAAGGTGAAACGTTTCGGCAAAAAAAGAAACTGTCCAGATGACCTGACTGAGAAATGTTGGATTGTATACCTGGATTATTGAGCATAGACTTTTTTGGTTTTGAACCACATTTTATGCTCAATAATCCAGGTAAAAATCCAACATTGTTCAGTCAGGTACCATATTTTCGCCCTATAAGTCGCAGTTTTTTTTTGTTTTTGCATAATTTGCATGCCCTGTGACTTATAGGCCAAAGCGACATATTTATAGATTTTTTCTCCCCCATATTTATAAACCAATGTTTGGCTGAGATATGACCGTTTTCATTCAGACTGAAAAAATTGAACACTACCATTTTCAGCCACTAGATGGCAGCAGAGTAGTAAGGCAGTAAGTTGTATCATGTAATAGGTAAAAGTGGCTATTAATTACAAATTCAAAAAAGTTCATGCAAAAAAGATGACGCGTAACACGACGCGTAACACGACGCGTAACACGACGCGTAACACGACGCGTAACACGACGCGTAACACGACGCGTAACACGACGCGTGACACGACGCATCAGCGTTGACACATAATAGATGTAACTTATATGGCGAAGGGATGTATTTATGGATTTTTCCACTTTATTATACATATTTGGACTGATGCGACTTATAGGGCGGAGCGACGTTTACGGCAGAAAATACAGTAATCTGGACGGTTTCTCCTGATGGTTTCTCGATTTCTCCGGTTTCACCATCCATCACCAGCAAACTGTTTTTATCTGCCCTGGGAGTTTGCTGTTTGTTGTACTCAGTCTGTTTGGTGGATCCTCAGATTGAAGAAGTCCTTTGGACGAAGGACGAAACATCTCAGCAATAAAATAAACCGTCCAGAAGACCTGACTGAACATTGTTGAAATTCCTGATAGGTGTGGAAATGACTAGGGATCAGCGCTAAAGCTGCATTATAAGTTTTAGAGAGTTGAAATCTGAGACCACCTCCTCTGTTGGAAGATGGTTTCGCTACATATTACATATTCCTTCATCCCCCCCGCTCTCAACCCATCTTTTTTGAATTTACCATGTCCTGGATGACTGAGAATCTTCACCAGTGTATCTCCAAAGGGATGTGTCCATGAGGCATCTTAGTCAGACGCCGAAACCACCTCAACTGACTGTTCGATGTAGAGGAGCAGTGGCTCTACTCCGAGTTCCCCTCGGTAGAATCGCCACGTTAACATGGTGGAGGAGTTTAAGTGGTCCTGGGTTCTGTCTGGGGTACTAACTCCTGGTAGGCTGCTACCATGGTAAGGGTTGAGGGGTCAGACCAAGAGCGGGAACAAAGTTTATTAATGCAAGAAATGGTTCCTTTTAGACTCAATTTCAGGCGTTTATCTGCGAACTACACAAATTTACATAAAACTTTTCACAGATTTAATAAAGACTTGAAATAGGGTGTTTTTCCTCAAACATTTGAATTCACACGCACAGTGCTTAATGTTATTTTTAACATCATTTTAAAAAATGTAACCAGTTTTTGTCTGCAAAGAATTTATGTTGAATTTGAGACAAAACGGTTGAATAGAAGAGGTGCACAGTGTTAAATTATCCACAAAAGGTGATAAAATAATTTTTGCTACAGGCCAAAATTAAAAATCTGATTCTGTTAGATCAGTGGTTCCCAATACTGGTCCTTGATGAACACCGTCCTGCATGTTTTAGTTGTTTCCCTGCTTTGACATACCTGATTTGAATGGGTGATTAACCGGCTTCTGTACAACTTGATGACGTAATCAAATCACTGAATCAGGTGTGTTGGAGCAGAGAAACAACTAAAACATCAGGATGGTGTTCCTCAAGGACCAGTGTTGGGAACCACTGTGTTAGAGGGCCGACCTTGGTCAGTAGTTTTGAACGCTTGAACTTTGATGTTTTGAACCACTTTGGCTATGACTTCCTCGGAGGAGTCGGCGGGGGAGAAGGTGGGCCCCAGAAACCATCTTATCACCTGCGAACTGGTTGGTCCACTATGTGTGTTGCTGCTTGTGGAACTGAGTTTGTTGTGGCTCCTCAGACTGATGAAGTCCTTTGGATGAAGGACTATATGTCTCAACAAAAAACTGAAACCATCCAGATGACCTGACTGAACTTTGTTGGATATGTTAACTAGCCTACAAAATAAGGCTACATTTAGTCAAATTCCTGATTTTTGTGTTTTTCTATCAACACTGGAGCCCTCTTGGATCTTCTTCCATGGAGCTTATTATGATTTAGATTTAGCAGATGGCTACTTGTCCTGAGACTGGTTCTGCTGGAGGTTTCTTCCTTTTAAAAAGGGAGTTTTTCCTTTCCACTGTTGCCACTGTGCTTGCTCAAGATGGGAGACTGCAACAAAGCCAAGATTCAACTTGTCTGCTGGATTCCTTAGATAGAGAACTTTACTAATTGGCTTTTATGTATGTGAATGTTTCTGTAAAGTGCCCTGAGACGTTGTTGTGATTTGGCGCTATATAAATAAACTGAATTGAATTGAAATTTAAAATGATGCCATCAGAAAGTGACGTTCCTTGACCTGGGAGTTAGGTTTTAATGGTTCTGCGTGGTTTCCTTTGCTCTGTTTTTTTACCATTGTCACAATCCATCAGATCAACCTGGGGTCGCATTAACTCTTGCATCCATGCCCTGGGAAGTTGGCATCAGTCCCATGAAGCTTATACTTTGTTATATCCTTGTGTTCAGAGGAACATGAAACTTCTTGGATATAGTCTTGTAGCCTTTACCTTTAACATGCCTGTAGATATCTATTGTATTTCTGAGCTCGGACAGCTTTCATCCATCATTCCATTCATCCATCCATCCATTGTCTATCCTTCCTTCTTTCCTTCCATCCATCATCCATACTTCCTTCCATCATTCTTCATTCTATCCATCCATTGTCCTTCCTTCCATCCTTCCTTCCATCCATCCATCGTCCATCCTTCCT